ACTTGTGGGTAGCTTGTGCATTGTAATAATCAGTTGGATTATTCAATTAATTCCTCAATTAAGAGAGGCGAAATGACCTTGGTGGGTGGACTAAACTAGCTTGATAGTTTTCAAGTGAACTAGTATAAACATACATTGTTCTTTACTTCTTGTTCTTAATTATTGTTATTATCAAGAGTGAAGGAAAAAGTTTTAATTAAAGGGGAATATTTTTAAATGAAATTTTTTGTTTTAAAACCAAATTCAAATCCCCCTTTTCTTGTGTTTTTCACACCTTCAAACTCATCCCTCCATCTCAAAGGCTTTTCTGATGCAGATTGGTCAGGTTGTATCGACACAAGAAGTTTTGTATCATGTTCTTGCTTTTACATAAGATATTCACTCATCTCATAGAGAACAAAAAAGAAAAGCATTGTGTCACGACCATCATCTGAAATTGAGTGTAGATCCTTGGCTTCAACAACTTATGAACTCCATTGGATCATGTATTTATTGTGTGACCTACAAGTCAAGAGTTCCAAACCACCGGTTCTTTTTTGTGATAGCCGGAGTGATCTAAATATTGTTGCAAATTCGGGTTTCCACGAAATAACAAAACATCTAGAGATCGATTGTCATATTGTTAGAGAAAATTACTTGCGGGTGTTATGAAACTCAATCTTATTTCTTTAAACAACCAACTAGATGATTTCTTTACCAATTCCTTACTTCCAAAATCATTCAACACACTCATGTCCAAATTTAACTTGATAAACATTTACCAAAGTTCAACTTTTGGGAGGATAATAATTGATTCATAAGTTGGTTAGAAGTAATTGGAGTTAGTTACATTTTAGTTTTAGTTAGTTAGTTACCTTCCTAGTATCCTAAGTAACTAAGTGTGTAGCTAACTCTCTTGTATATAAACAACATAATATCTTGATGAGTGTTAGGGAAATTTACTCTATTTTCATCTTTTTCTTCATGCTCTACATCATGAATTTTCATGAGATTTTATGTCATAATAATTTATGTGATTGATTTAATAAAACTCTCTTAAAGAAATTGATTCGATGATACAATAAGGTACTAAAGTTTATTTAGATGTTTGAAACCAAATTTGGATTTATAAACAATCTGGTATGTGAGATATAGTTTAATAAGTTTTCTTAGTCTTAAAAGGCATGGAGTGTATTCCACATATAGAAGAGTTGCATCCTTTAATCAAGTGTTGAAGGGATGACTCAAAACATTGTGCATAAATATCAAAAAAAGATACAATGGGGGTCTAAATGGTATTAAAAATAAAATGATCATCCTGAAGTATGAAGCTGAAAGTTTTATGGAATGATCATCCTCATATTAATTATCCTTAATAGTGTACGAGATTTTATGTGGATGAAATGTTTGGAGAAAGTCATAGTGAGAAATAATTTTATTGTAGCTAGATTGTTGTTATTCCAAACTGATTTTGTATATTTTGTGTACTTGTTTAGAGTGGTCTTTCTAAAGTGTTGTGCATCGTTTAATCTTAAAGTGTTGATTATTGTTAATTTATTGGTTAAGATTGTAGAAAGTTATTTTGCATGAATACTTCACAGAACTAGACTCTAACTCTATTCTCTAAATCGTCATTCTCTTAAAAAAAATTCTAGGCATTTTCCATCTTCATCAAAACTTGTATTCCATCATCAACTCTTCCAAGCTAATTCGAACGAAACTTTTCATCAAGTTTTCGGTACGTAACTCACTTTATCTAGTGTTAGTTTTAGAAAATGGTGTCATTGACCACTAAGATGTTATAGAAATATTGTTTTTCTTGAATAGTGTTAGTTTGAGAAAACGGTGTCACTGATAACTATAATGTTGATAAAAATATTATTTTTCTTGAATAGTATGACACTTATAATGTTGATAAATATATTGTTTTTCTTGAATAGTATTAGTTTGAGAAAATTGTGTTACGTAGTAACCACTAAAATGTTGATAGAAATGTTGTTTTTCTTGAAATGGTGTGTTTCTTGAATAATGTTAGTTTGAGAATATGTTGAACGTATGTTCTTAAGAAGTGTACCAATGAGTATAGTATAGTTCATATGAATTAGGCGCCTTAGAAACGATTTGTTGACTTGAGTAGTATAGTTATTGGTTTACACAAAGATGGATGATCCGACCAGCACCTCTCATAAAACCTATGTTACAACCTCTACTAATACTAAAAGTAAATGAAAAACTAGAGGTGCCACGATAATGACCAAGATGTCAAACGCCCACGAAAGCGGTGTTTACTTCTCGGTTGATTTTTATCCAAGAAATGATAAGGCTTATGGTGAACATGTTGATAGTTTAAAGGGTTTCTTGTCAGTACAAGGTAGAAGCAAGGTCAACATTTTGATATCTGAGTGACACGAAGTTTCTGATGATTTGAAAGATCAATTATGGACAAATATTATGGTATTTATTTAAATTTTATGATTTGTTTTAAAAGTATAGATGACCATTTTTTTTGGTTTAATACTAATATCAAATTTATTATTTAAATGTAGGAAGTAATTATTGTTCCACGGGATGATATAATGAAAAAGAAAGCCATTGGATATGTCGGTGAGCATTGGAGGGGATTTGAAACATTGTTCACAAGTGATTATATTACAAAACCAATGTGTAACTTAGAGCCTCCATACATGATGTATTCATGCATTGATAAGGACATTTGGTAGAAGTTTTTCAAGTCTGGAATCAGTCCTGAATTCTTGGTTAAGATCCCAAAAATAAAGGAGAATAGAGCAAGAAATATATATTCACATAGATTGTCTCGTGGAGGATATGAAAAAATGGAACAAAGATGGTATCTTTCTTGCACTTTAAATTAATCAATTTTATCACCAATTCATCATGCCAACAAAATTATCATAAACCCCAAAACAAATCTAAACTTCTACCAATGGTGATAAACAAACTACTCCTATATAATCATCATTACAAAAACCCTTAGAGAGTTGAACCCCACCCTTACCTTGGATTGACGGTTCCTAAGCTTCAACAATGGCTTCCTTGGCCCTAGCTCTTCTCACTTCTCTGTTCCTGCTTCTTCTCAGAGTATGATCACTCCAATAATACAATTCACTCTCCAACTTTTCCCTTAAGTCATCTTTACCCCTCTGACCTCTAATATCATATTCCTATGTTATCCCTACTTCCTATACTCAACATTAACATAATGCCCTTATCATCTATACACTTCAGATTATCCTTATTTAATTATTAAAATAAATCCAAATAACTATAAATATCAAATATATCAATAATTCTAATTATCTTATTCAACCCAACGTTACCCCACAACATGCATTCTAACCATCAATTAAATCACATAAATCACATTAACATAATTAAATAATAAATATAATATTTGGGGCGTTACAACTCTCCCCCACTTAGAATATTTTAGTCATAAAAAATTATATGATACAAACAACTCTGGGTAAGACTTCCGCATCTTACTCTCCAATTCCCACATCATATTCTCTCCAGCAGCTTTGTCCCAAACTACTTTCACAAGAGCAATTTCCTTTCCCTTCAACTTCTGCATCTCACGGTCTTCGATCCTCACAGGTACGATCTCAACAGTCAGATTATCCCGCACTTGCACATCATCCATCAGAATCACATGAGATGAATCTAAAATATACTTTTAGAGTTGCAACACATGGAACACATCGTGTAAAATCGACAAGTTAGATGGCAAAACCACTTTATACGCAATAGTCCCTACTGTCATACCCCAAATTTTCCCGTCCTTTATTTCTACAGTCAAAAATATTTTAAACACTGTTTTTATAATATTATTTGATTTTTATAAATATTCGCTTCCAAACCTATTTAAAAATATTATGATTTATTTCAGATCATTTGTATTTTTGAATAAACAAATACTTGCTCGTCTTCATGTAGTATGAGGTTACGTGTTCGAATATCTTATGATGCACTTTTTAACATTTTTTCTATTCCTTTTGTTACTAATTTTATTTCCTTTTTTAGAGATCAGGCTTTGTGCTTTACATTCAATTTGGACTAACTTTCTCTCCAAGTTTTTCAATAAATAGGATCATTGTTATCCTAATTTTTCATCCATAATTTCTCACAATTACACTTCTATCATCAATCATTCACAAATTTGCAAGTACACACACACAAATTCAACTATTTCAACTCAGACACGCTTTTCCAATATTTTCTTTGGCCAATAACTTCTATATGAAGTCCCCTCCTTTCAATTTTAATTTGTTTTTAAAACCATGTGATGTGAAACTGATGGTTTTAGTCTTACACTAACAATTTTCGAATTTTCACACTTATTAAACCGTATATTACCACAAAAATATTATACATATTGTGTACATATTTTTTGGCATTAGTCAACCAATCTTTTGCCCAAAATCTCATTTGTTTTACAACACCAACGATCCGCATGTTTTTTTTATGAACAAATTATAGAAATTAACTCTTTTGTGAATTAATTTTAAAATTATTATAGAAAATATTTTTATTATAATTTTGATTTAATTTACTAAAAGAATTTCAATTTTTTCACAGACTATACAAAACAACATGGTGCATATATATTTCCTTTATCACGATTGAAAATCAAATGTCTAATTTCTACACTTTTGTTTCCTTGCTTCTCCATAAAACCATAAAACATTCATATAGGAAACAAGGTGTTCACTTACCTTTTCATCATAAATCACTACCTCTATTTTGAAATAACACCTGTAAACTAAAAAACCAATATCTAACTACATTACATTGTCCAATTTGAAACTCACTCCAACATGAAAATTGGAATTCAAAAATCATAAACTTCAACACAATAATCTCCTTCTAATCTTCAAACACAAACCATGTTTTACCACCAAAATTAGGCTAATCACAATTGTTTATAAGATCCTGGAAGATTGGAAAAAATTTATACTTTTCTTCTTATTACATCGACCATAGGTTTGAAAGACAACAAGCAATCATAAGGAAGCTTTTGCCGCGAGAACATCGCCGAAAAAACCGACGGAACTATCAACAACAATGCAACACAGTGCCCTCTGCTCGTGTGTGACTTGTAGGAAAATAGAGATGAAGAAGAAAAGTGAAACCAAGAATATCGGAACCACCGCAAGCACTCTAACAAGCCGCGACGAGTGCCTTTCCATGCACCACACTTCTGATCCAGAAGCAACCGATATAGGCTGGGAGCCACACCTCTAATCGCGCACCCCAATTCGACTGCGACTCAACCAAACCGGTTCCGCTCGCAATCCCGCCGCAGATCTTTCTCCGATCTCAGCCAAATCCACCATCATCCACTGCTTGAGTACCAGAGTAGAAGAAAGAGAGAACGTGGGGTGAAAGAATTATAGATCTGATGCAGTATTGTTGTTTTTATCGTGTAAGCTTTTTTTTTATAATTTTATAAATGATGCCACTTGTCAAACGTATGATGGTGGCCACTTTATTTTGAAAGAGTCAAGACAATCAATAAAATTTGTCCAGGTTCCGCCTCCCTCTTTATGAATTATCTTCTATATTTTTTTTATTTAATTAGGTTATTAGGGTTTTAGTAATTGGGCTCTTGGGCTATATATTTCTACCACTTTATTAAACCTATACCGTACTTCTAACTTAGCACCCCATAGTTTTTTTGTTTTATTTAGTTACTATTAGTTTAGTTAAAAATTTTAGTTAATTAATTATGAAGAGTAGTTAATTTTGTTTCATTAATAACAAAAAACAATAACAACCTAAAAAATAATTAATTTAACATTTTACATCAAAATGTTAAAATCCACGCAAACTCACCAAAATCATCACCCGCAAATGACATGTGGCCAATATCTGGTGATGTGATAAGGAGACTATATCAGACTCCCCCACTATACGTCTTAATATAGCTAACCAATCAAAAATATTTTCTACTAACTTAATCAAAACTTCAAGATCATTTTCAAAAAAGGATTAAATAGCATCGTCTTCTAATCAAACTGCGAACTACGTCTACTATCACTCAACTTACAACCCAGACATGGTTCAAGGATAATTTGAAAGCAATTCTACTGAATCCTCTAAAAAATACCAACCAAACACTACGAACTATGAGTTGGGACTTTGATTTCCCCTAAGAGGATACGTAGGCATATGACTAAAATCGTCGCGAGTTCCCCTAATAAAAATTAAAACCCTATTTCTTAATTTGTAAATATAAACCTTAGTATCCTCGTGAACAAGGTAGATGAGGGGTGTCTAACACCTTTCATTCGTCTAAAAATGAGTCAACAACTTAGAATCTCTGAACATATTAGGGTTATCCTTTATATTCCTTTCCTTAGGATAAAAATTAAGGGTGACGACTCTAAATTTAAAACCGGTTACAACACCTACCTTGTTAGAAATTTGATAGGAACTAATAAATTAAGGAGTAATATTTCTCGATTTCAAAGCACTTCCAACACCGGTCATCGAAGAAACCTTCAAAAATGCATGGTGTAATACGGTGGGAGAACTGAATTGGTTTTGCATTTTATCACAAATGTTGCGGATAGCAAGAGTCGTCACCTACTTTTCTTTTATCTAATAAGGAAATGGTTAAAATAACAGTAAATACCTTCGAGATTTTCTTGAGTTTCGGGGGTAGGTTATGAAATGGGAACATGTTAGCACCCTTTTCATCTGTAGTTATCTACGGGCTCTATATCACTAGCTTACTTTGTTTGAAATGCTTTTGTGTATTTGTTTAAAAACATTTTGAAAATGCCTAAGTATGGAAACTTTGTAATGATTCTTGTATAAGTTAAGAATGCGTACAAAGTGTTTGTTTTTGAAAATATTTCAGAGAAAAGTGTTTTATGTAAAAGATGTTTTTGTTTTTGTGAGCAAGCGGTTAAGAGCTATCTACCTACTCAAAAGATCCTTCGTGTTATTTTCCTTCTCGTTAGATAGTGTTATCCTACCATTAGTTAGTAGGAAGCGCTATCGTTAGATGTGAAGGGACGAGCGCGGGTCATCATTCAGTCATAGAAGGCAACTAGTAAGGATGCTTTTGCAATTTCATTTAAGGTACTAGATTGTTTACCGAAGGTAGCATCAAAGGGTCATCGAGGGACTATGATCTTTTTAACTGAGGGTCTTTGCTAAAGCGTCCCCACGTTCGAGGGACATGACTATTTTTATGTGAAGGCAACAAGTGGGATTATCCTAGAGGTGAGTGTGTGAAAAGTGATTCAATTCAGTTATTTATCTTGATTAGGGTTTTCTATGATTGGTTTTAGATCTTTCCATACATGCCTAATTACTAGCAGTTATAAGGAAAGCAGTAAATTGCGGAAAGTAAAGGTGCAAAAAGTAAACCTAACTATTACAAGGCTTTGAGAGTGGGGGTATAAAACCATAAAAAGGGGGAAAAAGAAAGAAAATAAAAACTCTAATTAAACTATTACATAATTGGGAAAAATAAACTAATGCGATAGTAAGCACGCGAAGCGGTAAAACAAAGGGAAACAAAAAACATGGTTTTTATGATCATTTTGATGAAAAATTTATGATTAACCTAAAGTAAAATTAATTTTAATTGGTAAAAAAAGTTAGGTAATTAAATTATGCAAACCCTAAGGTCTAAGTTGATTTTAAATGAGAAAACCAAAAAAATTAAATCAGGGTTTATTAATGAAAACTTAAAACTAAATTAAGGTTAATTAAATAAAACCTAAAATTGATTAAATAAAAAAACATAAAATTAATTATTTGAGTTTATTAAGAAAAATCAAAGGTTTTGTGAAAAAAATGTTAGGTGTTAGGATACGCCTCCAATTCTTTTTGTAGCAAACCCTACAAAATATGAAAAATTAGAGAAACAAAGTGTCAAAAACCTGGATTGAACCCAGGCCCTTTGATACTAATGCCTTATCGTGCACACTTCTACTGTTGGGGAGACTATACATCCATTAGCATATCTGAAACAAAAAAATATATGTTATATAAGTGAAAATATTGACCGGAGAGGTGCCGAAGCCCTAACTCTGGTCGTCTTCTCAGGCAACCTGAATTGTTCAAAACCTGCAAATTCAAAGCATTAGCGATCCAAAACGTCCTACCCCCCCCCCCCCCCCCTAAATCGAGGGCTGCAAATCCAATGGCAAGGTTATTTTGATCTAAAAACCCATGGTTTTTGAGTTATGACACAATCAAGCTGGGTCGGTAAAAACATGGTGCTCTACGATTCTGACTGCACGAGGTTACTATGATGATCCAAATTTGTGCTAATGAAACTCAGGAACATGTTAGTAGTGTTAATACATGTTAAAGTAGAAAAAAATCAAGATATGAATATCATGCATATTATGAAACCGGCGATGCCATGTAATGCAATTTCACATGTTTTGGACCATCAAATTTGGTCCAAACTTACTCTATATGCTTGCTGGAAGAGAATGGAATGGAGGTTTTGTAGTAAAAGGGCTTGTAAATAGGGTTTGTAAGCTTTAGGGTTCTTGAAAATATTTGGAAATTTTGACAAGTTGAGAGGCAAGGTTTTTCGCGTGTCAGGGTTCTCTTTGATGTCTGAATTGATAAGAATATATAGAGAAAATTAGGGTAAAGATATGATAGGCTTGGACCCTTGTAATAAAATATGATTTTATCTTATTTTATTTTGACATTAAATTAATAAAAGTCAAAAATAAATAAATTAAAAAACCAATGGGTGCATGAATGAGTTATGAGGTCTATAAGGAGTATATAGCACGTTTAGACTCTTAAACAATGGCTCAATAGCCCAAAATATCAAGCTTGCTTAATTTGAACTTCATGCATTTGCTCAAAATGTCACCACTTGTAATGGTCATAACTCACTCAATGTTTATCTTTTGAAGGTGATCTAGGACTTTTTAGAAATCCCAAGATGTCCTATACCGCCTATATGTTGATCATTTTTGCTTTTGAAGAATTTATATTGATGTAATTTGCCTTGACAAAAGGTGTCTTTTTGTTTACTTTTGAAATGACCTGTAATGCATTGGCTTATATCTCTCAAATGATGCATTTTTTGGACATGAGCTTAGAGAGACAAATTTTTAGAGAATTGAATTTCCTTCAAAATGATCTTTTGTTGGGTAAAATATGATGAAGCATGTGAAATTTATTCTTGGTCAAAGTTCAGTTGACTTCTCATAAGGAAACCCTGAATTGGCAACTTTTAACTTTTAATGATTTGAGGGCTTTTCTTGAGGAATCATGATTAACCATTGATAAAATGATGAATATCACTTCAAAATGTTGATGTTGACCAAAAATATTGAAGTTTGACTATAGTTGACCACATTTGACTTTTTATCCAATACAGTTGATTTTTAGTCTTCTGAGCCATTGGCTGAGCAAACTTCTAATGCAAGGCTTGAATCATGACATGAGCATTCTTGAATACATATGAAGAACCATGAAAACCACTTGAGACCTTAGAAACCCAAATTTCCTTGTGAAACACAAAACCCTAATTGTGGACCCATTGCTTAGGAGGAGAATTTGTTTGATCAATTCTTGAGCAACCTTGAGCATTTTGAGAAACCCTAGGAGAATGTATTAAAGAAAAATGGGAGGGAAAATTTTGGGATACAACACATGGTCTCCTTATTGAAACTCAAGATCCTTTCTCCTCTTATCATGGTAACTATTTTGTCTAATTTGCAAAGTTTTCATCTTATCCTAAATTAACTTCACCTTTTTCGTTGTCTTTGGAACAATCTCAGGTCCAAGCATTACACTCTCACCAGATTCATACCAACAGAAAGGTGTTCTACACATCCAACCATATAATGCCTCGAAAGGTGCCACTCCAATACTAGAATTAAAACTAATGTTATAAGTTAATTTTATCAAGGGAAGATAATTATCCCAAGTACCTTCTTATTCAAGAACACAAGCTCTCAACAAATCCTCAAATGACTAAATAGTCCTCTTCGTCTGACCATCTGTCTACGGATGATACACAAAGTAATTAAAGGGAGAATTAAGAGAATTTCCTAGGTTCTATTAGCTTAGACAGAGGAGTGTTGGAATCTGTAGGTGAAGTTAAGGAAGATGTTAGCTGACATTTTCATGAGAAGTTCTTAAAATCTGATATGAACAAACCACTTTTTGCAGGGATTTCCTTTAATGTTTTGGA